TTGCAAATCGTGCTTGAAGCACTCCAAATGCACGTTCTACATCTTTTCTTGTCGCCTCTTAAGCTGCAGCAAAAAGTTTTTTCTTATTTCCTTGAGGAGAAAGAATTGTTTTCACAAATGTTGACCATTGTGGATATGTACGATCGGCGAGATAGTATCCCATTGTATATTCATTACCATTGATAGTGTAATTGACTGCAGGAGCACGCCCTTAAGCAAGTTTGGTAAATACAAAAGACCTTTCTAGCACGTTGATATCATTATGAGACCCAGACAATCTAAAAAACGCATGCCAAATCCAAAGATCATATGATGCAACAGCTTCCAAAATAATTGTTGGTTCATGAATGTGACCAGTATACATACCTTTCAACGTAGTCGGACAATTTTTCCATTTCCAATGCATACAATCAATGCTCCCCAGCATTCCAGAAAATCCACGACTTACACCAACCGCTAATAGTTTAGCGATGTCATTGTTGTTTGGTGACCTCAAATACTCATTGGAAAAAATATCAACAACTCTTTAACAAAATATTTTAAGCTTTCTATTGCAGTGCTTTCTTCAATTCTCACATATTCGTCCATAAAATCAGCGGCTACTCCATAAGCAAGCATTCCAAGTGCAACAGTTATCTTCTGAAGAGAAGACAAACCAAGCTTTCCAGCACAATTTTTTTTGTGGAGAAAGTATGGATCGTGCGCTTCTACTGCAGCTTGAATTCAAAGAAAAAGTGAACGCTTCATCCGAAACCTCCTTCGAAATAGCTTAGGAGGATATATAGGCAATTCAGCAAAATAGTCAAGAAAAAGCCTTTCATGACCTTGAATATGATCACGATGAATGACTTTACGACCTCGAACAGAACCACGACATGAACTTGATCCTATCTCGCTATCTAGTAGTTCTTCATCCATAGTAACAGCTTTGAGCATCTCCAAATCATCATCAGATTCAGAGAAGTCAGAGTCATTTACAAGCATATCATAAAGAGAATTAGAAGCCATAGGAGAGATATGGAAGTTTGGATGAAGTAGAAAATTGAGTTGAGGGTAAGATCAAATGATAAGGAATGCTTTATTTATAATGAAAAAGTATAAAAATATGACCGTTGGAAAAATATGACCATTGAAAAAATATGACCGTTGAAAAAATATGACCATTTGAAAAATACAATAGTAGAAAAATGTAACTTTTACAAAAATATAATTATATTTAGAAGAATGAAAAAAAAATAATTTGAAAGAAGTTAGTGTTTTTTTTTTTTTTTTAGATAGAAAAGTTTTTTTTTTAGATTGGAAAGAAGGTAATTAAAGTATAAGAATATTTTAATAGAAGATAGCTAAAGTAGATAGCCTTGTTGGAGTATATATTAAAAAAATGACTAGCTAAAATAGTAAAGTGAAATTTTGAATAGCTATTTTAACTATCCTTGCTGGAGATGCTCTTATATGACAAAAAGTGATAAAAGTGGGACCCAAAAATATGTGTTAAAGTGTGTTAAGAGTTTGTTAATTTTAGAGAGTGAGTAGTGGTGCAATGGATGTGTTAAGATGTGTGTTAAATATATATATATACATAATAAATAAAATAAATAAATAAATAATTTAGTTTTATCAAAAATTTCAAGCCCAAAATTAAATTTCAAGTCCAAAAAAAAATCCCAACAAGTAAAAAAAATAATAATAATAAAAAATAAATAAATTTGCCGTTGACCGGTCAACCGGCCGGTCAACCCGTAAGAACACAAACACACTCCCCTCCGCTAGCTAAAACCATAGCTGCAGATAACAAACGTTTTAACGCATACCACTAACACACACACTAACCAATCCACTACAGCATCAAACAACAAACCTTGCTAGGTAAAACTTACCAACTGACACTAACACTTTCCTTAGTATGTCCATTGTGGATGCTCTAAGAAACAGTTCACGAGATATTGCCCCAAAATGCATGGCAAATCCACAGGGTGGATCTATTTGGGTACATGATGGACAATCCGTCTGGGTATGGAGCTTTTTTATTTATTTGTTTTTTGTTTTTAAGATGAGCTGTGTATGGAGCTTAGCTCTTCACTCGTTACAAGTGTCTGTAGTTTTAAGGACAAAGTGGCTTGTGAAGACACTGGGGTCCATTTTTTCCTAATCAAGGGCATGATATCGAAATATCTAAGCCGTAAACTTGTCCTAAACTTCTATGTACATATATATGCTAGTACTCACTATCATGAGTAAATAACGTGCAACTAAAACTATTATGGAGATAGTGGTTAAAAATTCTCATTTGATTTGAAAGTTTGTGCCCAATATCTTTTAAAATGTTGGATAACTTGAATGAGACTTGGATTGGGCCTAAGATTAGAAGTCCGACCCGCTCATCGATCCAACCCAATGGGCCATGAGAGGTTGCCCCTCGGTGTCCACCTGATAGCCTGGCTTGCCAGCCTAACAAAAAATTAAAAAAAAAAAAATAAGGAGAAATTGAAGGGGAAAAAAATTTAAAGATGTAAAGCTTAATCTCGATCCGTATGCTAGTCTCTCATTAACCCAGTAGAGGTGGCCTACCGTCCCCCCTAAAAAAGATACGGATGTGCAAGCTTGGGACCCAATTTCGCAGGTTAACCTTGCCCTACCAGATGTCAATCCTTAATTGTAGGTAAGAGACCAGAGAATGTTGGTGTGTAGTGCGCAGAGTTTTTGATTTATTGATTTTACATTTTAATCTTTACAATAATTACTAGGCAAATGTAATATTAGATAAATTATGTTGTTAACGTGATTTTTTCTATTAAAATGAAAATTGCTTGAGAGAATTTTAACCAAATAAATTGTGTTCAAATATTATACGACAAGATCGAATAGAGAGAGAAGCGTGATGGTGGGGTGGATGAAGTTTAATAAAGTATTTTATATAACGGATATGTCACATAATTAAGATGATGTGATGTCATCTTGTCACTTATTAGTAAAAAGTGAGATTAGGATTTGATATGGCTGAACATTCATCATCTCGGATCAAGTAAAAAGTGACTTTTCAAGTCTCACTTTAATTACATGTCAATTAATAAATGAAAAAATTACATTATCTCAACCACATAATATACCAGTTACATAAAATATTTTCTCGTAAAATTTGATCAAAATCTGTCTGCTAAGGGTGGTGGTGGCAATAGCGTGGCCACACTTGTCCCGTGAATTGTCTTTCTGTACCATAGGTGTTAGATATTGTCATGGGAAGGGAGACACTAGCCTCTTGGAGGGCTTCAATACATTAGGCGTGTGTATGTTTTTATGGGCATTATTAGTATTATGTGTATTGTTTGTGGAGACATTTCCAAAGTTTTGGATCATATGGATAGCGACCACACATTTGACATCAAGGGACGACAATGAATAATCGGACACTCGAGGAAGGATGTGTCTGGTTGAAAGACTATATGCGTCACTATTTCTCACATGAATATGTGTATATATGTATCTAGCTTATATAGTTTGATTGGTATATTTGTTTGTATCTTCTTTATTTGGGGATGTTTTTGATCAGATTAGTCTAATTTTAAAGTCAATCAAGAATCCAATTAGTCCCTACGATCTTAGAAAAATTAAAACCTTAATCGAACCGTTAACTAATGTAATCGGACCAGAATTGAACCATAAAAATCAGTTTAATTCAATTCTATAGAAACTAATTTAGTTTGGTTCAATTCTACAATTCTAAAAATTTTATGTAACAATAAATATTGTATAATTTTTATAAAAGTAAACAATCTAATAACAATTAATTTAGCTAAATTGATTAGACTTTGCCAGTTTCACCATGAACATTAGTGTTTAAATCTTACTTTACATACAAAAATATTAAAAACTAATAAACAAATAGGAAAATTTGCTCATAAATTCAAGTTAAATGGTGCGTTAGGCATTAGGTCTAAAGATTAATCTTATTTGATGAAAATGATACAAATTTAAAAGTTGCCGAGAAATTCATCAACGCTAAAAAAGTTGTCAATAGCGACAACCGGTGACAATGAGTTAAATAGTAAGTGATACTAAAAAAATAGGTGAATATATAAGTAACACGTGTAGAGATAGTTACACAAATAAGTAACACATGTATACATTTAAATGGATAGTGGGACATATAGATGATGTGTACAAATAACTGCATTTGAACAGCCAAATTTTTTTAAGATTGGGCCAATAGGCCCAACAATTTTATAAACGGACCTCTAGTGGGAGTGCCCAAACAAATATATCATAATTCAATTCAAAACGGTAACAAAAGTTTTAAAACTGATAACTATACAGATTTGAGCGGTTCTACCATTTTGATAATCAAAATCAAAATAAAAATTAGATCAAACTGATAATTTGGACCGGTTTTCCTGTTGGGCACCCCCTATATTTATCTGTTAGCGTCCCTGGCAGGTTCACTTTGTTATGCCGTGCATGTCTGTCCATTTGTAGAAGTCCAACACTGCAAGTTATGCTGCCTCAATAAGATGCTTCTTTACGGGCTTCTTGTTGAGTTTGGGGCAAGACCTTGACCATTTTAAACATCAAAAAAGTAGACTGGGCTACTTTACCATATTTACCCAAAAATCACAAGCAACTATCAAAAATTGTTAACAGAAAAAAAACAAAACCAAACCAAACCAAGAAAAAAAAAAAAAAACCTGTTCACCCCTCCATTGTTCAAATACTACAGCAGAAACAAATTTTATATACAAACAGCGTTTATGTATACAACATATATATACAAACAGCATAAATGGTGTATATTGAAATTTTCTGTAGAGTGAACAGAACTACCAGGGATTGTGTTTGTCAATTATTTATCCAATTCTATCACATAGGAGCACTTGTACTGTATTTGGATCTTAAATTTATCAAGTAATTTGTGAAAGGAGAGAGAGAGAGAGGTTCCCTTTTCTACCTCTTCCATAAATTTAACGTTCAAACATAATCTAATCAAAAGCAAAGAAATGTGCTTACCATTGAGGGGATTAAATGGACTGGAGAAAAAACTATAATCAAGGGCCAACTGCAAGCTATCAAACCACTGCAATGTGTTCATCACACAAAGTTTTTGATCTACCAAGTCAAGAAGTTGCATCATACACCAAATCATTAAAATGTAAAAAAAGATTCAATGGTTTCTCTGATAATTTAAGCAAAACATGTTTGACAAATGCCACAACATTCTGTTGAATACCAAAGAACTTCTTTAGAGGCAATGCTCTGATTATTTTCAAGGCCATTGCTGCTTGCTCATATCTCTAGTAAGGCCGATACCTCAAATCTCCGCGTGAAGGTCTCCCTCCACCCATGCCATAACTCCACTGCAAAACAAAAGTATATATGCATATGATAAATTCCCAAATTTTAGTTCCCAAATTTTTACCAAAATAAACTTCAGAAGGAAAAAGGACAGACATGAAAAGCCCATATATAACACATTCGGGACACATAAACTAGGTTCAGAAGACAAACAGCAACTGAAGAAAAAGAAGGCCCTCACAAAAGGGAGAGGAAAGAGAATGAAAGGGGTCAAGAACTCTCAAATTAAAAAGGTAAACTACATATTACACACTTCAACTATGGGCCATTATCACTTTGCACACCTCAACTAAAAATTGCTACATTTTACACATTTGATCTTTCAATTTGTTTCAGTCTCAACCTTCTATTAAGATTTTGTTATCAAATAGGACCAAAAAATGGCATGTGAGCTAGCTACCTATAACAATTTTATGATCAAAATGCTCATTTGGGTATATGTGAGAGCTATGTACATTTTCTTCCCCCTCATATGTGAGAAAAATACATATATGCATGTAAACCACGTCTTGACTAAACATTTTTGTCATTGACATGTACAGCTCATATGCTACTTTTCCATTCTCTTTTCAGAACAAAATGTTGAGATTGAAACAAATCAGAAGTAGCAATTTTCAGTTGAAGGGGTACCAAAGTGACAATGCCCCATGATTTAGGGGGCAAATTGTACTTTGCCCAAATTGAAATGAAGACTATGTTTTGCATTTTCTAATACTCACATTGTCAAAATCCATGGTTCCATACATCCGCCCATAAGTACGCATTGGACCTCCATAACCCCCATACAGTTCAGCATTATCCATCATAATGTTTCCACTGGGACCAGCATCATCAACAGGTGTAGCCGAATCTATTGCAACCTTCAAAGCAAGTTTCCATAACCAACAATTAGAAAAAGACAACATTTCATTAATAAAGTCCATATCCCACAGCAACTACATTACAAGCACACAAAATGTTAACGGATCAAGCATAACATATTTTATTGGCAGTTTCACAGCTGAAGCATCCACAAAAAAAGGGATAAAAACACTTGGCATAAAGATATTATATTAATATATTGTTAAATTATCGTTCCAGTTACCATCTAGGTAGGTCAAGCCGCGAGTTACATACCAAAAAGGAAAAAATTGTTTTGCCTTATAAAGCATTACTAGACATCTGTCAGCTAAGAAGCACCCAGAAAAGGACTGATATGACATGGTAACTGTCAAAAAATGCTAAACACAACACAGTAAAAAATATTTATTATACATAATCATAATATCAATAAATTAAAATAAACAACAATAAGTTTTTATTTTATTTGTTGGACCTGCTTTTATTTTATTTCCAAAAAAGAAAGGAAAAAGAACATGCCAGAAGCCCTTCACATTTGAAGAGCTATAAGACCAATGTAGGCAAGGGCTGAGTAGAACATGCCGGAGGTGGTTCACCACCGGCCAGAGGAGATCAGCAAAGGGGAAAACACCACTGGGGTTCTCGGTAGGCGATATTGCGATGTGTGACTGTTTGCACTGTCATCTTTTTCTTCTGTGTCTGTGACTAGGGCTATCTGTCTTTTTCATCTTCAGTCGTCATAAATGATTGGCAAATAAGTTCCCCCCCCCACCCCACGCGCGCACATGTCAGGCAAGAAAAATATATAAACAACGGAGACAGATGTGTCTCTGTGCCCGTGTCTGACATGGGTACATCCCCCTAGGGGATGGGTCACCATTTCTTAACCATTTTCTATCATTCAAAGAATTCTTCATGTCCAAACAAATTAAAATATGCCTGGCCTCCCAGAACAGGACAGTAAGAGAACGAGACAATTTGCAGTGGGTGAACACATACTCCTACAGTCTGGGTCTGTCCCAACCAAATCCTCCATAGACTTTAGAAAAATATATTTTGATAAATAGTAGCAGCTTAATTCCATATAATGCACTATGGAGGCCAAACGGAACAACGTACCAGTGCTTCAAAAAATCATGAGTTCTTGTGACATTTTACTTTCAATTATATCAGATGGGTTACAGGACCTTCTGAAGAGTCTGAAAATATTTGACAAAAATAAACATCAAGCAAAACACAACTTCCCACTCAAGGAAACAAATGTCCAGAACTTGGTCAAAGGAGCATTCCATAGACTCATTTAGATTCTACAAGCTTTTGGATTTTTTTTAATAAATTTCGGAATAATTGAAAAGACAAACTGTTGACCTTCCCCCTGCCTCTATTCTTCCAAAGGGGTTTTAATATCAAGAACATAAAACTGATGATAACCAACGCAAAAGATAATAGACCTTCCACTAATACCTGCTGTCCACAAATCTCATGAGACCTTCGAGAGACGCGATCTGCAACACCATCTTCTGCAAAGGTCACAAAACCAAAACCTCTGTGGCCAGTTCTCTTAGGATCCTACATCCAGTAAACACATTGATGTTTTATAGATTATCAACGATCCAACCATCCGTTGTACCATAAACAAAATTTACCTTTGGAATATAAACATCTAAAATTCGGCCAAATCGACCAAAGTACTGGCGAAGATCATCAGTTGTAGCCTCCTGAGGAAGCCTGCCAACAAAAATCTTTTTGCCCATTCCTCCACGAGTGGATTCCCCTCCTAATACACCAAACAGATAAACATGAAAGCATTCTGGCATTTTCACAAATTGTATGAGCACATATGAAGAAAGGAACTTACTTCCATAAATAGAGCCCGGATGATCATATAAGGTGGGAGCCCCTAGAGCTGCATATCTAGTTGCCGCAGATATATAAGCATTATATGCACCATATCCGCCCTGTGTCATTCGGCTTACTGGTCTGAAGTCATCCTCCTGAGAACATAATATTAAGTGGTAAATAAACAGCAGAGCACTTGCTTAGACCACAAATGCACAAGGTCAACTAACTGTTAAAATTGACACGATAAGAGGAAACTCCGTCGGTGTGCTATTCATCATGCTATTGTTAAATTTTGGCACAATGGACACAAAAACATACTCCAGCAGTGTGCTATCCATCGTGCCAAATTTTAGCACGATGAATATTAGCCCATTAACATCCTTAAATTTACTATATTGCTCCCCAAAATGTCACGTCATAAAATTAATATTGTTTTTAAAAATTACTAACCAATGACCATCATATTAAAATTAATAATATTAATTCAAAATACAATTCAAAGACATTCCATCCAAAAATACTAACCCTCATATTTGATTTAATTTATTTAATTTAAGTTTGAAGTAAGTTAATGAATTGACGTTTTTTTAAAAATATTAATTATTGGATTATAATTTTTTAAAATAAAAATCTAATTTAAAGACACTACGAATACATATAATTAGGTACATCCAATTGCATTGTATAGTAGAATTGAATCGCGCTAAAAATTAACATGTGCACTGCTGAAGCGGGTCTCGCAAAATATGGCACTTTGAGACACTGTAGCATTCTAAAATATGACACAAATGTAGGTAATGTCTAAGATATTGCAGGTTTGCAAATTATATTGCCAAATAACAAAAGAAAAATACAAAGTGAAGAGGCCAGTAATGTTGTAAATTGCCTTGGGTGTTGCTCGGTCCACAACAATAGTGGATCCTCCCAATTCATGACTTTCAGCCATCAGATTGTCCACCGATTCTGGCAACAAAAAAATAGATGATTAATATCATTAATCAAGTCATCGTCTGAACGAATAAAAGTTCGTAGGTTAAATACACACACATATCCTTTCTTGGGTTGACTTGCTACATACCCTACAGAGAGTTATTTTCAGTGTCAAAGAAATACGGGGAAGGGAACACATTTTTCAAAATTTTCATAAAAAAAGAATGTATTAACATCAACAACTAAAAATCTATATAAATAATAATTGATAAACAAATATATATACATATATATATATATATATGCCTATTCATATATGCCTACAAGTAGAGAACATGTTTAGAGAGATGCCTTCACAGAAAACAAAGCGGGTTTTTTGCAAGATTAAAAGAGATGGCTTCACGGAAAACAAAGATGTTCAAGTTTGTGGAGGGTAGTTCTAGGACAACATGTGATCATGTTCAACATGGCAAAAGATGGGATAGTGTCATGGATGGTTGATAGTGAGCTCTTGAGACCAAACTCCATTTAAAGAGTCTTAGAGAATGAAAAGGGCAACAAAAAAAGATGTCCAAGATCAATAAAGAATTTGAATGGGCTCAGGTTACTCAGATTGAGACTGCTGGAGTTGCATCCCTAATAAATATATTGTTTCAATTAAACTGAACATGATATTTTTTATAAGCAACTTATCATGAGATTCATGACCATAATTCATGACCTTATTCTCAATCTCAAAATGCTTTCCCTCTTTCCTGTAGTGTTTTTTTTTGGTTTGTTGTTGTAGTTGTGTGTGTGCCTGCGCATTGTGTGGAAGGGAAGAATTTGTTTATATGACACTAACAGTCATAAGTGATTGAAGGATTCAATTCTTTAGAACAATTGATTCTTTCCGAGTGTAAGGCTCAAATGTGAAAAAAAAAAAAAAAAAAAAAAAAAAAAAAAAAAAAAAAAAGGAGGGGGGGGGGGGAAGAGATACCAATCCCGCCTTCTTTTTTTGATAAATAAATAAATTTCATTGAAAAAGAGGCACCAATGCAGTTCACAACCCAAATAATACAATAGCAACACTGTAAATCCTACTAGAAACTCTCTAGAAATTTCGAAATTGGTTCAAGTATGGCTGAACCATCCCAAAAACCAATAAACCAACTACACAAAACTGACAAAAAGAAACTCTTTAATCGCCAAATTGGCTCTTCTTTGCTGCTAAAAGTCCTTTTAATTCTTTCTACCCACACAAAACACATTAATGCCAAAGGGAGCAACCCCTAAACCTTCCTCATGCCAACTCTCACCCCTCTCCAAGATGACATAAGATTCCCCACCTCCCTAGGGAAACACCTAAAGAATTCCAAACATAAGAAAGATTAAAAGAAGACCCTATAGATAAACCCAAATGCAACAAATACTTCTCCACCTTGCAACCAAGAATATTCTACAAAGCCCCCCCGTGTGAGGCACCTCCCCAACCGGAGTTAGACAATTTCCATAAAATAATCTTCAACCGAAACACTGCCTCAAGGACAAGGATTACAAACCAAAGCTAACCTAACTGTCGTGCCTCAATACCGCAAGAGAAGACCCACCAAGCTGTCAATCTCAAAACATTTGTGGAAACCACTCTATAATAGATATCAACCATTCTACTAAAAACCAACATGATAAGAATGAACAATAGAAGAGACAACAGAGCCACCCTGCCGCAAATTCCACAAACTCGATATTCAAAGAAGCATCCACAATTAAAAATCCTTTTTTTTTTTTTCCAATGATTGTACTATAGAAATATTCTGATCATACTATGCCTCTTAGAAGAAAATAAGCCAGACAAAGAAAGCAAAAGAAAAAAACTTCAATCCCTTGATAAGAGCCACAATATCATTAGATGTAGTGCAGAAACACAGCTACACAAACACATCCCTCCCAGCAGAAGAACTCACCATAAGATATCCACCCACCACCAAACCCTTTTTTTATTTATGTAATCACGCTATGCTCACTCTTCCCTCTAATTACCTTTACCCCAAAATTCACAAAGCTTATTATTGTGAAACCTAACAAACAAATGACACAAAAAATATAGTCCATTGGATCAAGCAAAATAAGAAATATAAGTTGCCAAAAGGCAAATTGCAGGACTGACCAGCACTCGCAAAAGTGATGAACCCAATTCCACGATGCCCTTTGGTACTTGGATCCTGTAAAATGATACCACTAAATAAAATAAACATGACTTACATCCCCAAAACGTATTGTATCAGTACCAACTACCAATACATTCAAAGAATAATGACTAAATAAAAATTTTTGCACATATAGATGTAATTAAAAATGTTGTCTGCATTGTGTGTGTGTTTGAGAGAGAGAGAGACCTTCGGCATGTATAGATCTGTTATCTCACCATACTGCTCAAAATAACTGCAAGGAAAATATATAAAAGTTCAAACCTCATCAAAGCTCATGAATAATGCTAAAAATACGTAGCACAATGAACTAAAACAAGTTCCACAAAAACCACAATTACCTTCGGAAAGCCGCTTCTGTCACAGATGGTGGGATCCTGGCCACAAATATCCTGGTGACTTTCTTTGATGGTGCTCTCATCTCCTCCTAACATAAATAGTTGCGAAAAATATACATATAATTACCAAATAAAATCAATAACTGCAAAATTCCAATATTATTAAATGTAAATAAAAGGACCAGTGATATGTGGAGATCGCAATGGAAAATTGCAAAACTGATATATGATATTAGAACACAACCTTTGGTGTGGCTACTTTTACTTCCAGAATTCTATTTCCAAGAAAGTGCTCACTGGACAATGCATTCTGTTTAGAGAGAGAGAGAGAGAGAGTTTGGCATGAGATATTCTCATATGAAAACAGAAAAACTGATGTTATGTAGGTGGAAAATTCTCAACAAAAATAATTGAAAAGCTGACATACAACCACAAGAAAAGGAAGGCATGAAAACCAGTGTAAAATTACCATACTATTCAAGAACTGTGATGATATTGACTGAAGAAAATAAAAAGATAACATGGAGTCACCTTAGCATCATCAACTGATGCAAATGTTACATATCCAAAACCACGAGAACGACCAGATGACCGCTCCTACAGCATAAGACAAAGGAAATGAATGTCTTTAGTAACATAAACAAAAAAAAAAAAAAAAAAACAGCAAATCAAAAACAGCAACTTCACTCATTCAAGTTAAGTAATTTCTCAACAATAAATAAAGTCATCATCCAATCTCAATGGTGACCCAATTATCCACAAGCAAAAAGACATCTCTCTGTGATTTCCTTTCCCCCGAAATAAAAATGCTTTCTTCATGGTTTCTCAGCAAATCAAAAACACAACATTGATGTAAACAAGTTAAATGCCATAAAAATTGTTTCTTTTGGAACAATTAGTAGAATATAAGGGAAGACGGACCTTCATCACAATACAATCCTCCAATTCCCCAAATTTGGTCATATAGTCCTTCAAACCATCCGTATCGATATCCCATGGGATACCCAAAACCTACAATTCATACAAAAACACATTACAAGCATAGATAGATACAAAAACACATCGCCATTCGAGAGGCAGAGGGAGACATACCACAAGCTTTCTATCTGACATATTCGAGGAAATCGGTGACTTTCACACCCCTCAAGTTGTCTCTCCTCTTCGTCGCTCTCGATCTCACTTCCCTCTCTATAATAGAACTCTCACACTCGACCCCTGCATAGAACAGACACATCTCTTTCTCACACACAAACATCATCATCATCATCATCATATACCAAAATAAACTCACCATTTCCTAAGATTTCTTTTCTCTTTTGGGGGGTTTTTGAGAAAGAAAACCTAGAAAAATAAATTGACAGCGATTGTAAGGAGATTATACACTCACTCACCTCTGATTGTTTGGAAAAACCCTAGCTCTCTCTCTCTTTCTCTCTATCCACTTTCTCTCTCTTCCTCGCGCCGCTCAGTCCCCAACTCGCAGGTAGATAACCTCCGTCTATCAGAGCCCCCTCTTCTTTAGCTTCCCAGAAACATATATTTATTTCATCTGTATTTATAGATGTGTGCATATTTTTCGGATATTTATAGATGTGTGCATATTTTTCGGCTATTTTTGCAATAAGTCCATCTTTTCAACCAATCTTTGATTAATTTGAGCAAAATTTTATAAAAATTTTTATTTAGGCCTCGTTTGAGAACTCTCATTTTTAGTTAAAAAATCAAAAAATTATTAAATTAGTCAAAAAGTCAACAATTCATATTAAAAAGTCAAAAAAATTCTTTTCTCTCTACTTTTTACACATCTTTTCATAAAAAGTTAAAAGTCATTCCAAACATATTAATTTTTTTTAACTCATATTTTAGCCAAATAACTAAAAAATTACTAAATTAACCTATTCCCAAATGAGGCAACTTGTACTTCAATAAAATTAAGATTTTCATTTAATTTGGCTAGTCATCTAGTTTAAAATAAAATTTTAATTTATTAAACCAAAATTTGACCGTCCAACTGATCATCTAATAACAACTATTTGTAAAAATTAATAAAAGGCTGAATGCTTTCTCCTTTTCCTTAATTTAATATTAATTTGATTAAATTTGATTAAACAATTAGAATATCCTTTTCATTATATTTAAATTTAATAAAAGATAAGAAATTGAATTGAATATTGCCTTACCCTTCTATTATTTTTTTTCATTTTTTTAGTGCGTCATCGTTAAATCTGAATGCTTGAACTTAACAAAGGTTCGTTTGAGAAGTGAATTGATTTTTTAATTTTTAAATTTTTTTAATTATTTTAGTCTAAAATTAAAAAATTTAATTTATTTTTTAATTATTTTAGTCTAGAATTAAAAAATTTAATTTAGGATAAACTTTTTTACCACACATTAAATTACCCAACTGCCCTTCCAATAAAAGTTAGGCACTGCTAGGCGGCTGAGCCCGATACGTCAACCTTCTTCTTCTTCTTTTTTTTAATTTGTTTTGTTTTATAAGACTCTCCTATGGTTTTTTTATTCTTTTCATTAAATTTTCATTATATTTAAATTTAATAAAAGATAAGAAATTGAATTGAATATTGCCTTACCCTTCTATTATTTTTTTTCATTTTTTTAGTGCGTCATCATTAAATCTGAATGCTTGAACTTAACAAATGTTCGTTTGAGAATTGAATTGATTTTTTAATTTTTAAATTTTTTTAATTATTTTAGTCTAAAATTAAAAATTTAATTTATTTTTTAATTATTTTAATCTAAAATTAAAAAATTTAATTTAGGATAAACTTTTTTACCACACATTAAATTACCCAACTGCCCTTCCAATAAAAGTTAGGCACTGCTAGGCGGCTGAGCCCGATACGTCAACCTTCTTCTTCTTCTTTTTTTTAATTTGTTTTGTTTTATAAGACTCTCCTATGGTTTTTTTTAATGACGTGCAAAATTAAAATTCACCCCTTTTTTTGGTCATTTGATTTTTTTTATTCTTTTGTATTAATTTGTTTTTTTTTCTCATAAAAGGCTTTTTCATGTTTTTTATAAAAAAAAATTATGTGGAAAATGCTAATTTCAGTTTTATTTTATTGTCTTTTTTATTTTGGTTTTTTTTAATTTATTTTTATTTTTTTTTGGAAAAAGGCTTTTTCATGTTTTTTATTTTAAATGACGTGGAATTCATGCTAATTTCGGTTTTATTTTTATGTCTTTTTTTTTGTTTTTGTTGTTTTTTATTTGTTTTATTATTTGGAAAAGGTTTTTTTTTATGTTTTTTTAAAATGACGTGGCAAATGATAATTTTCGGATTTTTTTTCCCGTTCTATTTTTATTTATATTTATTTTTATTTTTTTGTTGAAAAATGTTTCACGAGATGTCGTCGCCGTTTAGTGTTGGCGAACCGCCTCCTTCGCTTCATCGTATCTGTGTGCCCTAGAAAATTTCAGTGTTGTGTGTGTGATGAGGCGATGCTAGTGTGAATCAGAGTGGAAGGGGGTAGTTTGGTAAATTCACCATGGCTTGGGTTGTGTGTAAGCGGGAGCTTCTATTTACACACACAATATACACTTTTTACACATCTTTCTCACTATATTTTTTACACATCTTTTTCATTAAGTGTGTGTATAGAGTCAGTTTGGTGTGTGTAAATAGAAGTTCCCTGTGTAAGCATGTGAATCTCTTTTGTCTAGTAGTGGCTAATTTTGCCTTTTTTGGACGGTAGTAATTAATTTAGCCCAAACTTGTCTTGCCAAACAGTGCCTAAGTTTTCAATGGTCTTTAAGATGACTCAAATCCGATACTTTGTATTTTATTCTTAAATCTTTATAACTCAGCTAAATCTTCGGATCAAGTATAATTTAGTATATGTTATTACAATAAATATAAATAAAAATAGTGTTAACTATTAATGTTAATATTTGATATTCATGCATGTATATCATTTATTATAATTTTGGTTATACTTTAAAATAATATTGATCTCCTTTCCCTTTTCATTTATCTTAGATTAGATTAAACTAATATAAATTCTAACCAACGACCAAAAAAAAGACATATATTCAAATTAGTCGTGAACCAGGGTACAAATTTGTCGTGTGTATAGAAGACTAAACTACAGTTTTGTACCTCTTTGATCATTTTCTTGGTTTTCGTTTGCATTTTTGTGAAGAAAAATAATAATAACTGTGGGGATATATTTTCTGAATATCAACACGTGGCAAGGTGACGCTGACGTGTCAGCCGACGTGTCACGTGTTCTGATTTTGATGCGAGGTTATCTCGGCAAGGAAGACATCGGAATCCGAGATAAATGAATAAGAGATAAGGGACAAGAGTCCTAGAGTAAAGAGGAGACTTAGCCAAGATAAGGATAAAACTCTTAGAGAGTTTATCTTTATCTCTAGAGGAGTCCAAAGTAAGTACTGAACAGGAATCCATAGAAGTAAGGCTTCTAATGGGATCAGGATTATGTTGGCTATAAAAAAGAGGCACCCTCGTGGGTCTAAGGTACGCAGTTTTATGCTTTGAATAGTGAGTTTAGCACTTGATTATCTTTGAGAGATATACTGACTTGATCGTCGGAGTGCCCCCGGGTGGAAGAGCCACCGCTGGAGCCTTTTCTTTCTGTTACAGGTTAGCTGAAGCCATCTATTCTGCCGGTGCTCTCCAGCTGATTACTAGGCGGGCAGTGTTGTCAGAAAATTACTCACACAATTTGGCGCCGTCTATGGGAATCTTAGAAGAATAAATGGCCAGTAACGGACAAAAGGAAAACATTGGGGGCGACACTCCTGCTGGGAGTGGCAGACCAATTGACCTTGACATTGAAGTAGACAACCACAATGCAGAAACTCATGACCAGGGCCACGGCGAGAAAGATATCGGCCAGGAGGGCGACACTTCAAAGAAGACAGAACAAGGCAAGTACTATAACGAAGATAACCTTTAGGTATGGAGGGATAAGTGCCTACGGAGGGATGAGGAAGTAAAAGAATTAGCAAACAAGTTAGCAGACCTTCAGTCGGTCGTCAACTTCATGATGCAAAATAATGTCATGCAGCCACCATACCTACTGCAGGATACGCCGATGCCCTCAACTAATGCACAGAAGAGGGGAAGAAGAGCAATCCCCGAAGTCCCTCAGCACACCAGGAGCGGAAGGTACTCTCACTGACCTTCCAGAGAAGTCGGACGAGAGGAGCCAAGACAAGAGGCGTCCCGAAGGACGTATCAGACGAAGGACCCAAAGCCCAAAGAACATCGGCATGTTCAAGGGCAGGCACTCTGCTTTGACACAACACATGGAGAGAGATCAAAACGAGCCCACCACGAGGCCAAAAGTAGTGTACCGAAAAGATTAAAGTCCAAAGATAGCCGAGCTCCAGGGAGGAGTAAATAAGACTTGAGAGACTACCTCAAGAGGAAACAACAGAATGCTGAAGCCAATGTAACTTCCCCGGTTAAGCCAAAGACAACATTCTCGGTGGAACTGGACAAATTTCAAGCACCAAAGAGATTCAGTATGCCGAAATTCCAAATATATAATGGTAAGTCAGATCCCAACTTTCACGTTGGACTATACCTGAATTCAATGGCGTTATATAGTGGGAACGAGCCGTTGCTCTGCAAAGTATTCCCCTCATCCTTCGGGGAAATTGCATCAGATTGGTTCCATAAACTACCGAAGGGAAGCGTAAAGACTTGGGAAGGGCTGGCCGAGATGTTTGTGGCCAGGTTTGTGACAAATAAACTCCAGCCCTTGAGGGTCGATGCACTGATGGCTTTAAAAATCGCCAAGGATGAAGGCCTTAGGGCCTACGCAAAAAGGTACTACGAGGTGTTCAATCGAATACCTGATTGCAACCAAGAGGTGGCGGTTGTGTCCTTCAAGAACGGCCTGAAAGATGACTGTCCACTACGGAAATCTTTGGCAATGACATTGCCAAAAGGCATGGAAGAACTCATGGCGAGAATAGAAAAGTACGCCAGAGCCAAGGAGGATACATCGGGAAATAAAGAAACAAAACAGAAGAAAGGAAACGGCTCGTCGAAGCGAAGCCGAGGTAACAATGGACCGACCAAACAAGAAACGGACTTGAATGCGAAACAAGCAATAACGACTATATTCCGAGTCCCGATCCACAAAGTCTTGGATCAAATACGAAACCAACCCTATTTTAGAGGACCGACAAGAACACTAAGGGAATTCATGGGAAGAAACGTTGGTAGGCGTTGTGCTTACCACAATGAAGAAGGACACCCGACTCAGGGCTGCAGGGTCCTAAAAGCACACTTAGAAGACTTGGTAAGGCAAGGACATCTGAGGGACCTTGTTGATGAGGCCAGGACTAGAGAAGAACAGACAAGATTGCCTCAAGCACCAGCAGCTCTGCCTCCCCCAACTCAGCAACCACAGTTAGGAGGACCACGAGTGGTCAATGTAATTCACTCAAAGGTGAACGAAAACGACATACGATGGGAGACTCAGAGAGTGAAACACCTACAGCACATAAACCAAGTCGGACACAAAAGACCTCGGCCTGAA